CCCAGATACAGAAATGTCCGAATCCTCTAGAACGGAGATATAATGTTCCGAGAGTAAGGCATTTCCCAGAACAGACTTCTGACCCCCGTTCTAAAGGGGTAGGGGAAAGGGGGCAAATGCAGTTGATGCTTCTTCAAATTACATTGGTAAGTGACTATTGTATAGATGACTCATGAAAAGAGACAATACACACAGACATTACACCAATACAGTACAGTATTCTCATAATAAACCATTAAAATCTTGCACTTTTCTTCTACAATTTCATTTCCATTTGTTTATGCTGGACTTGACAATGTCCATTCCAGTTGATAAAGGAGGAGGGCAACGATAAGAAAAAAAAATGGGGAGTCCCTGAACCTGCTGATGCCAGGTCCGAGGGCCAGGGTTCTCCCCCAAGAGGATCCTGACTCCTGGACATGCTGGTCCAAAAGCCATTTACCTCTTGGAAGAAGCCTCCTGACCCCAGCTCAAAAGGATAAAAAAAAGGCTAACCAAGTTCAGGACCGGCTCTCCTTGTCCTAGGTTTGGCACTTCCTGGATGAGGAATTCCAAACCCTTAAAAAAAAGGGAACCTGCGCAGCCTAACGCTGACTTCCGAGATACAGCAAATGCTGCTCCTAGGGTCAGTTACCTCCTCCAGGAAGCTCCTTATCCCAGATACAGAATTGTCCGAATCCTCTAGAACGGAGATATAATGTTCCGAGAGTAAGGCACTTCCCAGAACAGACTTCTGACCCCCGTTCTAAAGGGGTAGGGGAAAGGGGGGCAAATGCAGTTGATGATTCTTCAAATTACATTGGTAAGTGACTATTGTATAGATGACTCATGAAAAAAGAGAATACATACAGACATTACACCAATACAGTACAGTATTCTCATAATAAACCATAAAATCTTGCACTTTTCTTCTACAATTTCATTTCCATTTATGCTGGACTTCACAATGTACATTCCAGTTGATAAAGGAGGAGGGCAACGATAAGAAAAAAAAATGGGGAGTCCCTGAACCTAGCTGATGCCAGGTCCGAGGGCCAGGGTTCTCCCCCAAGAGGATCCTGACTCCTGGAACCACTGGACAAACAAGCATGCTGGTCCAAAAGCCATTTACCTCTTGGAAGAAGCCTCCTGACCCCAGCTCAAAAGGATAAAAAAAAGGCTAACCAAGTTCAGAACCGGCTCTCCTTGTCCTAGGTTTGGCACTTCCTGGATGAGGAATTCCAAACCCTTAAAAAAAAGGGAACCTGCGCAGCCTAACGCTGACTTCCGAGAGACAGCAAATGCTGCTCCTAGGGTCAGTTACCTCCTCCAGGAAGCTCCTTATCCCAGATACAGAATTGTCCGAATCCTCTAGAACGGAGATATAATGTTCCGAGAGTAAGGCACTTCCCAGAACAGACTTCTGACCCCCGTTCTAAAGGGGTAGGGGAAAGGGGGGCAAATGCAGTAGATGATTCTTCAAATTACATTGGTAAGTGACTATTGTATAGATGACTCATGAAAAGAGACAATACATACAGACATTACACCAATACAGTACAGTATTCTCATAATAAACCATTAAAATCTTGCACTTTTCTTCTACAATTTCATTTCCATTTGTTTATGCTGGACTTGACAATGTCCATTCCAGTTGATAAAGGAGGAGGGCAACGATAAGAAAAAAAATGGGGAGTCCCTGAACCTAGCTGATGCCAGGTCCGAGGGCCAGGGTTCTCCCCCAAGAGGATCCTGACTCCTGGAACCACTGGACAAACAAGCATGCTGGTCCAAAAGCCATTTACCTCTTGGAAGAAGCCTCCTGACCCCAGCTCAAAAGGATAAAAAAAAGGCTAACCAAGTTCAGGACCGGCTCTCCTTGTCCTAGGTTTGGCACTTCCTGGATGAGAATTCCAAGCCATAAAAAAGGAACCTCGCCAGCCCTAACACTGACTTCGAGACACAACCAATGTTCTGCTCCTAGGGTCAATTACCTCCTCCAGAGCTCCTTATCCCAGATACAGAAGTGTCGAATCCTCTAGAACAGAATGTAATGTTTGTTCCGAGAGTAAGGCATTTCCCAGAACAGACTTCTGACCCCCGTTCTAAAGGGGTGGGGGAAAGGGGGCAAATGCAGTTGATGCTTCTTCAAATTACATTGGTAAGTGACTATTGTATAGATGACTGATGAAAAGAGACAATACATACAGACATGACACCAATACAGTCCAGTATTCTCATAATAAACCATTAAAATCTTGCACTTTTCTTCTACAATTTCATTTCCATTTGTTTATGCTGGACTTGACAATGTCCATTCCAGTTGATAAAGGAGGGCAACGATAAGAAAAAAAAATGTGGAGTCCCTGAACCTGGCTGATGCCAGGTCCGAGGGCCAGGGTTCTCCCCCGAGAGGATCCTGACTCCTGGACATGCTGGTCCAAAAGCTATTTACCTCTTGGAAGAAGCCTCCTGACCCCAGCTCAAAAGGATAAAAAAAAAGGCTAACCAAGTTCAGGACCGGCTCTCCTTGTCCTAGGTTTGGCACTTCCTGGATGAGGAATTCCAAACCCTTAAAAAAAACGGAACCTGCGCAGCCTAACGCTGACTTCCGAGACACAGCAAATGCTGCTCCTGGGGTCAGTTACCTCCTCCAGGAAGCTCCTTATCCCAGATACAGAAATGTCCGAATCCTCTAGAACGGAGATATAATGTTCCGAGAGTAAGGCATTTCCCAGAACAGACTTCTGACCCCCGTTCTAAAGGGGTGGGGGAAAGGGGGCAAATGCAGTTGATGATTCTTCAAATTACATTGGTAAGTGACTATTGTATAGATGACTGATGAAAAGAGACAATACAAACTTTACACCAATACAGGATTCTCATAATAAACCATTAAGTGTAAGTACAGAAAAAACTTCTACATTTTTCTCCAATTTCCTTTTCATTTGTTTATGCTCGACTTCACAAGTTTGATTCCAGTTTATAGATGAAGTTTTTTATGGTGGGGTCAGATGGCGTTAATAGATGACTCTCTTCATGGTTGGGTTCAGGCAAAGTAAAGCTTGACCCTAAGATGTGGAAGAAACAAAGGAAATAAATTCAGTACAGATTAAGTAGTGCAAATCCTTCCCTCACTCATATAAAACTTCAGTCTAACCTAAGGTCCTTCCTCACTCTTCTGCTTCAGTACAGTCAAGTTTCTCCCACTTATACATTACATAAGTAGTTTTAATTCCTATCACCAGTCTTCCCTCCTTCACTACAATACAGGGAGCCCCCAAGTTCGCAGTCCTCTTATATTCCAGACGGCACCCTGGCTGTACCCAAGAATGTCTGTGGGTGGTTTTAAAGTTGCTGTCATTTTTGCAGCTGGGACAGGGAACCATTTGTTCTAGACAGTAATTTCCTTTACCTGCATTGTAAATATGTGTAGACACACAACACACAAACAAATAAATAAAAATTAGAAAATCATCTCACAAATATTAAGAAGCAAATGTATTAAAAAAGTGACAATCTACCCTCAAGTCAGGGCTCTAATACTTTATTCATAAAGCACAGACTTTAGGTTACTCACATTTGTAATCATTTTTTTAAATTTTTTATTGTGAGAGTATTTTACCATTATTATTGTTTATTTGTGTGTGTGTGTCTACATACACATACGAATATACAATACAGGTAAATGAAATAATTGTCCTAAGGGCAAATACGTAAAGGGAATACAGTATACATCTCTTTGTACGCAAGTAAAAATGTATCCCCCCCTCCACCCCCATTTTGAGAACCCAACCCCCGTGAATTTAGGGGGCCCCTTGCACTCTTCAATCATATCTCCAACAGTCTTCCCTATCATTAACTATATTAGACATAGCATAAACTGTACAACTAGCCTTCCCTCTCAATCAACTCTGACCATAACAGCATACAGCTCACAGGCAAGAAAAGTTGATAATCTTGACCTACCCCTGGCTCTCTTCCTTTCCACATTTAGACTTGTGCATCTCTTGACCTAACTGGTTTCCACCCTCCGCTCCATATACCTACACCATATCTACCCATCTCTATGCAAAACTTTGTCAATATCCATCCACCTTCTTAGCTCTGAACAGGGCCTACTGTACTGTCTTACACCCTGGTTATGGCCTTGAGTACAGATATGTTCAATTAAGAGTTTAGCTATTAGTCACAATGGACTTCCCATACAGCAGCAGGTGAAGTTTGTGTCCATCTCAGGTTAACTTCAGTTGGCTGGTTATGTTGATGATGCCACTTGGTGATGATAGTAAAGTATTCTTCCCAGTGTCTACAGTGTCATACCTTCTGGTCCACTGCCTCAGGAAGATGGTACATCATGTCACCTGCAAATGGGGATTCTTTCTTCAGTAATGTTAAGAAACAATGGTAAAATAACCTAGTCATAATTTTGTCTCTTTAAATGTTAATATACCATAAAAAGTTAATTTATTTACCATATTACAGGGTGTCTACTGACCAGACAAAACAAAATTCCTTGGATTTTCCAGGTGTAAATTTGAAAAATTCCAGGTACAATAATTCAGTATTTATTATGACAGAATAACAAAATTAAAGGTTTTCAATAATATGTATATACTGTTGGGAAATATTTAAAGAAAATATAAATCATATTAATCAAGAAATTGAAGATCCTTTCACGACCCATCCTAAGCCTAGTGATGAAAATCGGCAAAGACATTAACACCCCCCCCCCCCATATTTTTCTCCTCGGATTTGTGAGATTCACGTGGGTCGAATTAGACATTCTAAAAAAGCTGGAAAACTGGCAAAAACCAAAAAATCACACTCCTGATCAACCTACAGGATGATTCATGATTAATATGTGGAATAATCCACTTATATTAAGTCACTTAGTTATAAGAACAATTCAACCAACAATACTCATTACAGAATTATTATGAATAACTTGTAATATTTAGTTATTTGATCACTAACATGAAATATGATACTGTAGGTACACAAACAAGTCAGTTATTGGAGTGGTCTACCGTATACGTCGACGTACAAGGCCACGAGGTGTATAAGACGACCCCCAAAACTTCCATTTAAAACGTAGGTTTTGAGCTATACTCACTGAAAAAGACTAACCCAAACCTGACACCACTGGGAGCTTATTGGCAAAATTTTGTCAACTACCTACCATAAAATGCATCAAACGTTACCAGATGGTGTAGTGTAAACACTAGTGACGTCACTTAGGCGTTGGTTATTTTACTAGAACTAATGTCGGTGTCGAGTAAAATTTTATTATTTTCTTGAAATGGATTTACGGATTTATTTGTGTATTTGTTTATTTATAATATATTGTAATATATTATAAATGTAGGCATAAAATACACTGCAGGTATTTTCTTTAATTTATAAACTTGCTTCGCGAGATGATCGGTAGGATTGGCCGTTTGTTTAATTCGGCGGCAGTTGCAAATGGCGGGCTGTGCGTGATGATACCTGCAATTATTAGGCTGTTATTTTATGGTATTTACGGTATGTTAGACAGGTTTATAATACATTTTTTTATTTTAATATACCGGTAATCTTATTTTTTAATCCAGCTTCCCAAACGTAAGTTTCAGTAGAAAATAATTACTGTAGTGGTAGGACCATGGATTTAAAGCGAGTGTTTTACGATGTTTTCCATCACCACTGGTGACACACTAAACCACAGTATGTAGAGGTTCGGACTTTACACCTGGCGTTTAAGATGACCCCTAATTGTGGGCTGATATTTTTAAGGTTCAAATTCCGTCTTATAGGCCAACATATACGGTATTACTGAAATTTGTTCCCAAAAGTTTAATTATTTACCTATTATAAAGTACATCATTAATTTATGGTAAGATTGATGTCAAAATAACAATATTTTGAAGTTAACTGAATTCACATAAAATTCCAAGTTCATTTGTAAAATTCCCAGCCCTTTCCAGGTTTTCCAGACCCTGGGATAAACTTACTAGAAACCTTAGACTGGACAACTGATAAAAGTGAAGATATTGTAAATTTTGAAGAAAGTGTATATAAAGGTGATTTAAGAAGACTTTTAATAGTGTACCACATCATAGGTTATTATACAAATTAAACAAAATTAGAATTAACGATAATGCATTAAGACAGATCGAAGGATTCTTAACTGTTAGAATACAATGTGCAACAGTAAATAGAACTAAATCTGTGGGTGAAAGTAACAAGTGGAGTTCCACAAGGATCAGTCCATGAAACAGTTTTACTTTTTATATCTGTCAATGATTTGCCAAATAACATCCGATCAGTTTGCAAAATGGTTCCGACGACACAAAAATCTACGATATGGCAGAGGAAGTGGCAACACATACTTTGGTTGGTTAAGTTAGGGACTACTCAGAAGAAAGAGAGACCCTCATTTTCTATTACTAAGTGTTATTTAAGCATTTCCGACTTACGACCTGGATGTCGGTCCCTAACCCCGTCGTAAGTCGGGGAGCAGCTGTATATTACAATGATATTCTATTAATACTGTGCTTGATATAATACATTCATGGAAATATAATATTTTTGCTGAAATGACATATGTATTACAGTGAAAAGTGGGATAAAATCACGACGAAAACAATCGACTTTTGCTTTCTTTCGTTATTCAAAAGATGTTACCGTAATCGCTTTTCGAATGGTTTTCAGTTAAAAAAACTTGTATTACAATAATATTCTATTCTAATTGACTTGAATAAATACTACGATACCATATTTCTGAATGTTTTCATTAAAATCCACCCAAATCATTTTCCTTGTCATCGTCTTCAGCACCAAACAGCTTCTCCCAGTCCTCTCCTTGAATAGGGCTAGAGGGTACGTGTGTTTCGAATCGTTTTCAGTTAAAAAAACTGTTACATCACAAGTATATTATACCTAAACTGCACCTGAATGAATATATTCTCGGAAATAAATAGTAGTTTTGCTGAAACGTGATGTATTTCAATGTAAAATAGGATAAAATACATGACGAAAACAAAAGACTTTACCTAACCTTCCGATGTTCAAGAGATTTTACTCGTTTTTTAATAGTTTTTGGTTAAAATACTGTTATATTACAATGATATTCTATTCATACTGTGCTTGATATAATACATTCACGGAAATGTAATATTTTTGCTGAAATGACGTATGTATTACAGTGGAAAGTGGGATAAAATCATGACGAAAACAATCGACTTTTGCTTTCTTTCGTTGTTCAGAAGAAGTTACCATAATCGCTTTTCGAATGGTTTTCAGTTAAAAAAACTGTTGTATTACAATAATATTCCCTCCTAATTGACTTGAATAAATACTTGAAAGGAAATATACAATATTTTTGCTGAAACTACCCGTGTTTCAGTGTAAAGTGTCGTAATAATGGTAAACAATTTGCCTTCGGCGCTTGGTGTTTCCGGCACGACGACCCTCAGTTTATAGGACATTAGAGTGTTTTTAGTGAAGGTTTTGCTGTTCCATTACCCTCAAAAACTTGGGTCGACCTATAAATGAGGCATATCATAAATTAATGATTTCTTGGTCAAAAAATCAGGGTCGACCTATAAACGAGGTAGAATTATAGACGAGTATATACGGTATATACAATACAGGTAAAAGAAATAATTGTCCTAAGGGCAAACACAAAGGGAATACAGTATACATTTCTTTGTACGCAAGTAAAAATATATCCCCCCTCTCCACCCCCATTTTGAGAACCCGACCCCCACGAATTTGGGGCCCCCTTGTACTCTTCAATCATATCTCCAGCAGTCTTCCCTATCATTAACTTTATTAGACATAGCATATACCATTAAGTTAGGTCAATAATCGACCGATTATAAAGAATTTTAAATCGGATTTATCAATGAAATTATTGGCACCGCAAAGTTAAAGACATCACCCTAATGTAATTTTTTACTTAGTTTTGCTGCCCACCTGCCATCTCCTATGTACTGCGCACATCATTGTCATTCCTAAAAACCCCATTTAATTCATATTACACTATATAACATTCAAATCCACCGCGCTTGTAGAATCTCAGAAAACGGGAAACACTGTTAAAGGATAATTCACCTACTCAATGTTACTAGACCATGTGTTGTATTGTACCCAGGTACAGTTATATAATGTTAATTGTATGTATTCATAGCATCAAGGAGAATTCAGGGTATCCATAAGATGATGGGGAAAGTCCAGTTGAGCCGGGCTAGCGTACTATAGGACTAAGTGTGGATCATGGTTTGAAGGTCATACTTTTTACGTCTGTGAACGTGTAGCGAACATAACTTCCACAGATATCATATGAAAATACATGAGAACAATGATCTGGAAAAAGGATAAAGGTATCAGAACTATGTGAAGTGTTGGAAGTGATCTAGAAACTATGCTTCAAAAAGAATATCTTGTATACCCACGCCATGAAAATACGATGCTAGGCTTTGTTTGGGTTGGCGCCTAGGCCGCCTCGGGTGTGTATTATAACCCAATGAATTTACCCAGGAACTAGCAAACCAGACCCTTACCTTAGGATTAAGATATGTATTTCTAAAGCATGAGGTCACAATAGATAGGAAAATGGAGATGTGGGAACCATAAGAATCCAAAGTGAAAATTGAAGATTGGAAACTGTAGGCCTAAACAGAGAGGAGGGGGGAGTCAGGACTTCACCCTCAGTGATGCCTCGACTTCTCCCAATACAGGGCAGTGTCCTTTATCATGCTATATTCAGCCCTAAAAAGGACCTATCTAGCAGTTTTTACAACTTAAAACCTTGCCTGATGTCAAAGTGAAGTCATAGTGTACTAATGTGTGACGAAAGCCCCTCCGGCAGTATTCTCAGTGATGCCTCAACTTCTCCCAATACAGGACGACGCGTTCTGACCGCCTATCGGGCTCAGCCATGACCACACTGTGAAGGCCACACCACAGTGGTCAGGCACTTCCACTGTGAGCCTGTGGATCCCCAGCACACCACCCCAAATGAGTAGAACAAATAAGGAAACGCTTGAGAAACTCCGCGGTTGTCACTTGGAGCGACCTATAATACCAGGCGTAGAAATAGTACTGGTATGTCTCTTGGTGTAGCCCTCGTCTCTACCCACCGTGGGCGGTGTGCGAACAAGGTGCCTGTTAGGTATACCTAGAAATTACAAGGAGTCCCATACCTGCAGGTGTGGAGGGTAACGGGTGTGTTGAGAGGGTGCTATTATGTATGACAACCGATGGTGCTATATTCCATACAGGTGGAGCAGTCTGATGTTTTAAGGGGTAGTGTAAGAAGGAATGACCGAGGTAAGGTGGTCACAGATTGTTACGCAATAAGTATGTGGATGACACGCCATTAATGTAAGACGTCTGGTGCCCATCTGGGTAACCAACATTTTCGTTGTTCTTCTGAGATAGACCAATTCATTTGTATGTTTTTTACCAATATGCTTTATAAGGAATAAATTAATTAAGACATGTTATGGTTTCACCCTTCTTTCCCCTTATCGATCTGGTCAATGGAAAACCTAACCCAATGCCTAGTCCACCCTGCACGCTACCTAACGAGCTACATGCTGTCCAGAGTGGGTCAGGTGGCAGCGACCCTTAGAAATTAAGATTAGAGTTAAGTATTCCGTCTTAGCATTAGTGACCCCCAGTCTGGCAGTATACCTATATGGGGAGCAAATGGTTTTAGTTATTTTCCACCTTATAAAGTCTAGTTTGTGTCATTGTAACATCTTGTTATGTACATCCTGGTTGTAATTTGTTACAAATTCCCATTTCTCTTGTTCTTTGTGGTCATTGTAGATGCTAATATAAATGGTAGAGTGAATAAAATGTACCTAACATCTGAAGCACTATCTATCCTTCTCAGTAAGTCTGTTTGGGACCTCAGTGTTTAAATATAATTACAGTTTGTATTTACTTTAAATACCAAATTTTTTTTTAATTCTAATAAAAAATACGTAGGTGTTGGTTGTATTTGTTTGTTTTTAAAGTAGCACAAAAACATATCCCGAGCTTGCCTCAACATACACATGCAAGAAAACATGACACACCTACACCATAGGAGGCGCTACGCATTAAAAGGGGTGAAGCGCCAAATTCAAAAACCAGAGAAAAACAAGTTTAATGTTTTTTGAAGTTCAAACAACCATAAAATTTGTGTTTTTTAAGCTAGAGGGTTATTTTTTTATCGTGCAGCTCAATCCCTCTCACAGCGAACTGTGAAAACTGGAAGTTAATACTGTACTGTGAATAGTTATTATTTTATCGCAAGTTGAATGAGAACAACTACCCGTGATGTACAGTTGTTTAATCTTCACACCCAGAATAATCGCATCTTTCTGCCAAATGTTCTTATTATTGTGGACTAATACTGTAAAACAAGTTAATGGTCACCAAAAACAGCACTCGTCTGACACCCCCCCCCATAGACCCACCCCAAAAAATGAAATAATAATAATAAACTCATTCGTCTACAAGTATTTATCTTTCCTTCCCTATTATTAGTCAAAGATTAATAATATTGTTAAGTATAATAGTGAGTAATAATAAGAAACCACTACACCCATCTCCCCCCCCCCCACGTAATTAACATACGATTATAAAGGCGGAGAAAGTTTGCATAATCTTTGGTAAAAACAATATTATGATAATAGTATTACAATCTTACTTTGTTTAGTTCCTTCGTTTTATTATCCATGAAGATCGTAGTAACTTGAAGTTACGTAAATCCTGAGGAGTGCGTATAGCTTCAATGGCCTCATCATAATCAATCGGGTACAGTTTCATTATAACACTGAGTTATGGGCTCACTTTCACTAGCATTCGTTGGGTCAGGCTCACTTTCATCACTATCAAGGTCTGTCTCATCACTGTCCACTTCTACCTCCCCACACACAGTCTGATGTTCTTGTTGTGATACATTAGTGTCACTGTTTATGTTATCATTAGTCTCACTGTCATCATTTTCATCTTCACTTTCATCGTCATTATTGCCGTCAGTGCATGTCACGTAACTGTACCGGAACAGTCTGCAATAAGGTCTTGTGATGCATAACAGTCACTTTTGTATTATGAGTACTATACCAAAATCACTATCACCAAGGCTTTCGACAGTGTACCCCACGAAAGGCTGAAAATCAAACTGGAAGGGTACGGAATTCGGGGAAATGTCCTAGCGTGGATAGAAGACTTTCTACATGACCGCAAGCAATGTGTGGTGATTAATGGCACGAAATCGTCATCTGTACCTGTAACAAGTGGGGTACCGCAGGGTAGTGTATTGGGCCCGCTGTTGTTTGTTTGTTTCATAAATGATATGCCTGACGTTGTACACTCCTCCATACAAATGTTTGCCGATGACGCCAAGTTATTTCGGGAAATTAAGAACCAAGCGGACTGTGAAGAGCTGCAGAAGGACCTCTGTGGGCTCCAGGAATGGTCGAAGGAATGGCTGCTGAGATTCAATGTCACGAAGTGTAAGAGGATGCACCTGGGGCGTACCAACGGTAAGGAGGCGTACCATATGTCCCAACGGGATGAAGAAAATGTACTAGTTGAGACTGTGTGTGAGAAGGACCTAGGTGTGTATGTTGACAATGAGCTGAAGTTCTCGGGCCATTGTGAGAAGAAGGTAAATCAGGCAAATAAATTATTGGGTCTTATAAGAAGGTCGTTCAGATATCTAGACGGTCCGTCCCTCGTGACGATCTTCAGGAGTGAAGTGCTTCCCCATCTGGAGTACTGTCACCCCATCTGGTCCCCGAGATATGCTAGGGACTGTCAGTTGGTTGAAAATGTTCAAAGGAGGGCCACCAAGCTGGTGCCTGCACTTCGGCATCTCAGCTACCCTGCGAGATTGGAGCGCCTGAACTTGCCTAGCTTATACTACAGACGGGCAAGGGGGGACCTAGTTGAGGTTTATAAGCATCTCAGGGGGCACTACTCAGTTGAGTGTCCTTACTTGGAGCTGGCGGACGCTCGCCCCACAAGGGGTCACAGCTCAAGATTGAAGAAGCCGCAAGTCCGGAAAACCGTGAGGGCAAACTTTTTCGGAGTGAGGGTTGTAAACTCTTGGAACAATCTACCAGAGAGTGTTGTGACGGCACCGAGTGTGAGCTCTTTCAAGAGAAGACTTGACCAACACTGGAGCGGGTTCAGGTACATTCAGGAGCCGGTGCATGCCCAGTATTTGCCAACAGTGCGTGACAGAGACGTGACCGATCGCCCGGGCGGCTAGCGAGCCGACCTTTTGGTGAAGAATATAAAGGAAAAGAGTCGTGACCGATCGCCCAAGCGGCTAACAAGCCGATCAGTGGCGAAGAGGATAAAAGTAAAAAGTAAAAGTGAGCACTGTTGTCACTAAACACACGCTCAGGAATAATGGGCATGCAAATGTTTTTCGCGGAATTGGCGATTCACGGCCATTTTGAGAACCTAACCCCCATGAATTTGGGGGGCCCCTGTGCTCTTCAATTATATCTCCAGTAGTCTTCCCTATCCATGAACTTTATTAAACATAGCATAAACTGTACAACTAGCCTTCCCTCTCAATCAACTCTGACCATAACAGCATACAGCTCACAGGCAGGGAAAGTTGATAATCTTGACCTACCCCTGGCTCTCTTCCTTTCCACATTTAGACTTGTGCATCTCTTGACCTAACTGGTTTCCACCCTCCGCTCCATATACCTACGCCATATCTACCCATCTCTATGCAAAACTTTGTCAATATCCATCCACCTTCTTAGCTCTGAACAGGGCCTACTGTACTGTCTTACACCCTGGTTATGGCCTTGAGTACAGATATGTTCAATTAAGAGTTTAGCTATTAATCACAATGGACTTACCATACAGCAGCAGGTGAAGTTTGTGTCCATCTCAGGTTAACTTCAGTTGGCTGGTTATGTTGATGATGCCACTTGGTGATGGTAGTAAAGTATTCTTCCCAGTGTCTACAGTGTCATACCTTCTGGTCCACTGCCTCAGGAAGATGGTACATCATGTCACCTACAAATGGGGATTCTTTCTTCAGTAATGTTAAGAAACAATGGTAAAATAACCTAGTCATAATTTTGTCTCTTCAAATGTTAATACTATACCATAAAAAGTTAATTTATTTACCATATTACAGGGTGTCTACTGGCCAGACAAAACAAAATTCCCTGGATTTTCCAGGTGTAAATTTGAAAAATTCCAGGTACAATAATTCAGTATTTATTATGACAGAATAACAAAATTAGAGGTTTTCAATAATATGTATATACTGTTGGGAAATATTTAAAGAAAATATAAATTATATTAATCAAGAAATTGAAGATCCTTTCACGACCCATCCTAAGCCTAGTGATGAACATCGGCAAAGACCTTAACACCCCCCCTCCATATTTTTCTCCTCGGATTTGTGAGATTCACGTGGGTCGAATCAGACATTCCAAAAAAGCTGGAAAACTGGCAAAAACCAAAAAATCACACTCCTGATCAACCTACAGGATGATTCATGATTAATATGTGGAATAATCCACTTAAATAAAGTCACTTAGTTATAAGAACAATTCAACTAACAATACTCATTACAGAATTATTATGAATAACCTGTAATATTTAGTTATTTGATCACTAACATGAAATATGATACTGTAGGTACACAAACAAGTCAGTTATTGGAGTGGTCTATTACTGAAATTTGTTCCCAAAAGTTTAATTATTTACCTATTATAAAGTACATCATTAATTTATGGTAAGATTGAGGTCAAAAACACAATATTTTAAAGTTGAACTGAATCCACATAAAATTCCAGGTTTATTTGTAAAATTCCCTAGCTTTTCCAGGTTTTCCAGTCCAGAAGACACCTTGATAGTCTACATTTTTAAGAAAATGTATGTAAAGGTGATTTAAAACTTACGGGAACAGTGTAATTGAAATTTTAAATACTATATAATTATTTCAAAGGTCATTAATTAACACTAATTACTCATTTTTTTATATTGTGAACCCAGATCCTTAATCAGCATGTAAAGTAGCACTTTTGTATGAAATCCAAACAACTATTTTTTATCCCAAGTGTTGCAAACTAACTTTTAAAAATGTATGGGTCGGGCCTTTGTTGTTGAGCATCGAGATCATCTTAGTGATGTCAATGTGTAAATCGATGCAGGATTTTTAATGTCACTCCCAATTGTATATTTGATAACACTCAACGTACTGACCAGAGGAATAGGCCGGGAGGTATACAACCATAAAATCATTGCCATATGACAAGGTTTATCCAGAAAAATATAAAAGAGTTGTGTTCATGGCTGTGATTGACCGTCCAAAGGTCGATCAGGGAGTGCAGTATTGTGCCTTTACTGAAGACAGTCCATAATGGCAACAGTGACTCTGATGGATTGAAAATAAATTAAGTGAAACAAATCAAAATTGGGACAAGCAATCAGGCACCAGTGCCTGAGAGTAGCCAAGACATGGTATTTAGTGCCACAAAGAAAGTTTGTCTTTTGTGTGTGTGTTTTCCAACAGACTGTAACTGATTATGATCACCATTCATAAGGAGATACAGTGTACATAGTGATAGCACAGAGATAATTTCGTTGATGAGAACTGGAAAAGAGAATAAAAGTGAACCGGCCGAACTGTCCCGAAGGCATTGTTGCCGCCACAAAGATAGTTTGAATATTTTTCTTCTATATGTACTAAAGGACTGTGACTGTGCATATAATCCACCATTCATAGCGAGATGCAGTGTTCAAAGTGACAGTATCTTGTACGGCAACATTGGACGAACGAGTGCCAGCGAGATGAAGACCAACAAGCAGCCAAGTGATTTTCTTAAAATAATAATAGTCTGCCACTCATAGTAGTAATAAAGATTATCATCATTATTATCAAGCAATTACATCACATTGTAAACTGGGCTTAAGCCCAAGAGGATTTTTACAGTCTGCACACCCCTCCCCCTCCCTCCTCAACAGTGGCAGTTGTCAAGCACCGGTGTCCCACAGGTGTAAAGTACATAACAGTGTACTGCGCACATCATTGTCAGTCCTAAAAACTCCCTTTAATTAATATTATGCTACATAACATTCAAATCCACCACGCTGGTAGAATCTCAGAAAATGGGAATCACTGATAAAGACTAACTCACCTAATGAATGTTACGGAATTATTTGATCAATTGTACCCAACTACGGGAATATAATATTAATTGTATGTATTCATAGCATAAAGGAGAACTCAAGGTATCTATAAGATGATTGGGAAAGTCCAGTTGAGCCGGACTAGTGTACTGTAGGACTAAGTGTGGATCGTGGTTTGAAGGTCATACTATTTACGTCTGTGAATGTTTAGTGAACATAACTTCCGCAAATATCAGATGAAAATACATGTGAACAATGATCTGGAAAAAGGTTAAATGTATCAGAACTATGTGAGGTGTTGGGAGTGACCCAGAAACTATACTTGAAAGGAAATATCTTGTATGCACCGGTGTGAACTTAATACACCTCGTCCCCTCGGGTGACGTATACCCACGACATGTACAGTGATCAGAGAATCTTATGTCTGTGTTCAAATAGTGTAATGTGTGAGAGGAGGAGCCCTAATTACAATTTTAAGTGAAGTGGATATACCCACGCCATGAACATTCGACTTTTGTTTCAAGGTAGCGTCCTTTGTGCCCACCTCGAGTGTGCCTCGTTGATATTATAACCCAATGAAGTTACCCACGAATTAGTAAACCAGAACCTTACCTTAGTGTGTAATTTAGGATTAAAATATGTGTTATAAGACATAAGGTTATAATATACAGGAAAGTGTTCATGTGAGAACAGTAAGAAATAAAAGTAAAAATTAAAGATTGGAAACTGTAGGCCTACGTGGTGAGGAGCGGCAGGGCACTGCCCTCAGTCTCCTGCGTTCTCTCATCACTTAAGGTCAGTGAACTTCATCGGGCTGTATTCAGCCCTTAAAAAAAAAAAAGAGACATATAGCAGTTATTACAGTTAAAGCTTTGCCTGATATATAAGTGAAATAGTAATGTGTTAGGGTGTGTGATAACCGTCCATTAGGCATTATTTCTCAGTCTCCTGCATTCTCTCATCACCTAAGGTCCCACGCGGTCGAAGCACCTTGCTGGATGTCGGCCATTATCTCTGTGAGCGTCCCACCATGTGAGGTGACTACCAGCTATGCTATTCCACTGTGAACCTGTGGATTCCCAGCAGACCACCCAAAATGAGTAGGAATAAATAAAGAAACGCTTGAGAAACTCCGCGGTCGTCACTTGGAGCGACATAATACCAGGCGTAGAAACAGTACTGGTATGTCTCTTGGTGTAGCCCTCGTCTATACCCACCGAGGACGGTGTGTGAACGAGGTGGCTGATATGTGTACCTAGAAATTACAAGGAGTCCCATTTTTGCAGGTGTGGAGTATAACAGGTGTGGTGAGCTGGTGCTACAGGGAGGTGAGCTGGTGTTACTATGAATGATGACCTAAGGTGCTATATTCCATACAGGTGGAGCAGACTGACGTGTTGAGTGATATTGTAAGAAGGGTAACCAAAATCATCGTTGTTCTTCTGAGGAAGGCCAACTCACTTGTATTTTTTTGTTACAGTATGTTTTATAAGGAATAAATTAATTAAGACATGTTATAGTTTCACCCTTCTTTCCCCTTATCGATCTGGTCAATGAAAAACCTATCCCAATGCCTAGTCCACTCTGCACGCTACCTAACGAGCTACATACTGTCCAGAGGGGGTCTGGTGGCAGCAACCTTTAAAATTAAGATTATAGTTAAGTTATCCCCTTAGGCTTAGTGACCCCAGAATGTGGCAGTATAACAGGATGAGGAAAGTTTGCGACGAGACATGAATAGGCATAGGGGCTAAAACCCCAGCATCACCAATAAGTTGGTTGATATGCAATAACTGCAGAGAGAAGTCTGATGAACATTATGCAGGTCTGGGCCCTACAGCGTTTAGGACGGTACTGAATGCGATAAAGTATGGAGGCTGTTCCTGGCATTGCCCTTTTTACTTTTATCCTCTTCACCACTGATCGGTTCGTTAGCCGCTTGGGGGATCGGTCACGTCTCTGTCTAACTGTTAATGAATATATTATTGTCAGAACTGAATAGAATTTAAACTTTACTAACTGCAAAATCAAAGTAAACGAGATGTCTGAAGATCATAGGAGGAGGAGATACTGAGAGACAAAAATAGAGGAAGCTAAATCCGTGTTGGTGCCAAGTTGGAGCACAAAGACTGAGGAAGTAAGCAACACAGCGGAGGAAATAGTTAAGAAGAGCTACATTCAGGTTGTAGCAGGGTCACAAAAGGTGACGGAGAGTAATGCAGGATCTGGACAGGTCCTCCAGCGGCTAGAGACTGCAGAAGTGTATTGATGAGTTGACGACTAGTAGACCTACTGATGTGGGAGAAGCGGAGAAACAGGAATGCGCAATGCGTAGGAACAACATAATAGTGTTTGGAGTCCCTAAGAGCCAGTCGGAGGAAGCTGAAACTAGTAAAAAAACACAAGTTGAAATTTCAAAATATTTATGATGGGCTCTGAAATAATCAATTCCAAATCAGGATGTGAGGAAGCTAGGATAAAGACAGGAGGACAAGCCCCACTCCTTCAGGATCACACTTGTGAGCGAGGATATGAAATGGGAAGTTATTCAGCAGGCAAAAAACTTAGCAAGGAGCGATATATTTTGGGGTACAGTATATTCATAAACCCAGATCGCACAGTAATGCAGAAGGAACAGCACCAAAAACTCCTGGAGTCCTTGAAACAGAGGATGGAGGAGTCGATGAGGAGCCTGGACAGACGTACTTGGTTATATACAAGGGAACGGTAGTGGGAGCAAAAGCGCCAGCACAGAGCCTGGGGACAGCGGGCCACCTGTCATCCACTCCACCTCCCACCCAGGAGGAGGCGGGCACCATGTAAACAATGTCATCTCTGACAACACCACGCAAACCACGAGGGATACAGTAACT